CTTCTTCAGCCAGCTCTCCTCTCTTTCCTTCTTCTTCGTCAGAGTGCAGCAGAAGGAAAAGAGGGGCAAAGAGTGGTATGAGCACTAAGTCAAAAAAAAAAAAAAAACGAAAAAGGAAAGGCAGCATCAAAACAAGTCTAGAAAGCTCACCGACGTCTTCAACAGGCGTTCGTCTTCAGCCACCCCGTCCTTTTCTTCAGCTTTCTCCTCTTCCGACTGAGGATCAGCAGCACAGGTAGAAGGTTCAACACCGCTTCTAGGGGCCTCGGCAACCCTTGCCGCCCTCACAGCAGCAGCAACAACAACAGCCTTCTGTGGGGCTCAGAAGGAAGAAGGGGTACGTTTCTTCCACCAGACCTTCTGCGCCTCGTACTCAACAGGCTGACTATCTGAAGCTTAGTCTTGCGTAAAGAAGGGGGCCGGTCTGACGACTCAGTTATATCGAGAGCGTTCTTCGTCACCCGCCTTACAGCGTTGATCCCGAGCCGGTTGTAGTTAATACCAGAATTTCCCTCGTGCAGCACTGAAAAGCCGAAATTCAAAGGTTAGTCGGCACAAAGAAAGCAAACAGTAAAAGAAAAAAGAGAAAAGCAAAGGCCTTCGGCCCTAGCCGAACTCCTTACCCCCTTGGTATTTTCGGTTGAGGCCGAAAACGGCAAGAATCTTCTCCTGGAAGATGTAGTGGTAGCAGGGCCGCCAAGTTGTGGGCACTTGGGCCATTCGACCCGTGCCCCTTGGATTCTTCTTCTTGCCGAAGAAATTCAGGAGCTCCTATTAATTTCATGCTCTCGAACTCGTCAGGTCCGATGCTCCTCATCTAGGGATCAGGCTCGCTTAAATTCCTCGGCCCACCAAAATAGTTCGAATGGTCCTCTTCCGAGGGCGCCCGAACCCAGATCCATTAGCCCCGCCAATCCTTTTCCGAAGTATCATTCGGCCAAGTGGTGAGATGCCCTCTATGGGTCTCAATCCGCCACCATCCAGTGCCATGATGTTCATCTGATCGTTGGTTCGGCACCAGTTTGTGGAGTTTCCAAAAGACGTGGAGGCTCGGCATAAAACCATAAAAGAGGCAAACCCAGAGAAACGTCATCAGCCTTCGCATGCTGGCGGGGGTTAATTGGCACAACGAGATGTTGTACCCGTTCAGCACTTCAACAACAAAGGAGTGCGGAGTGAACCGAAGCCCAAACTACAGCTGTCGAGTATACACCCCGATGTACCCAGGGGGAGGACGGTGAATCCTACCTAGAGCTGTGGGCATTCGACACCTATATCCATCTGCCTCCATTATGCCGTAAAAAAATTTCAATTTGCTCGACAAAGTGGTAGAAGAGACTTTCGTCCACCCACAAATCATAAGGAGGGGTGGTCATCAACCCAAAATTCTCAAGGACGTTGCCCCACTCCCTTGCTCCAGAGGGCAAGTCCCAAGGTCTGGGCGCCTAGCTCCCGCCTTGGCAGGAGGTGCTAGCCTCCCCCAAATCTCGAGGAGGCGCGGATGACAGCGACATCGCAGGAATCGCGGCTCCGCTGGAAGCAGCTGCTGTCCCAACCTTGGGACGAGGGTTACGGCCGCTCAAAGGCAGCATCATCTCCAGCGGACGATTGCGTCGCGGAATCAGCTGAGGAACCTTCCTCCTCCTCATCGACCACCATAGAACTCTTTCCTCGGTCTCGAGCCATTCTCGTCAGTGGAAGTTCGAGAAATCGAAAAACAGGGGGTGCTCTAAAAGTCAAAGAAATATGAAGAAATTTTGAAGGAATTACCTTTATCAGAATCGGAATTCGCCGATCTACGAGTTCGGAGCAACGAACTTCAGTTTCAAGTTTTGGATTGCAGAGAATATACGAAAAAAGGAAAGCGGTTTAACAGTGGTGATTAGCAAAGAACGGGAGAGAATTAGCAAAGAAATGAGGAAAGAGAGTGGGATGAGTAGCTTAAAAAGACTTTCCGAAAGCAAAATTCTGGGAGTCCGCGCCACTAAAACCCCCACTAACTCCACTTCAATGCAACCGTTAAACACTTCCCTAATTAACTACCCACTAAACCTTCCAACTTCCCTAATTACTCTCTAAATAACTGTTATTGCCTTAATAACTACCCAAATTCAAACTCTAATTAAATCATTTACTTCCCTCCATTTCACAAGTCAAAACCCGGCCCGTCGTGCTTCTGAATCGGGTTTGGGGGCCAAGTTGTTTGGGTCCAATTTACTTTAATTAGGCCGGTCCATAAATGATTTAACTACAAAGCCCAGAGCAAGGTTCAACTCTCCAAATAATTGCCAATTCGGTCAAGGCCCAGCCAATGTGGCAAGCCCACTTGATTTAAGGTCCATTTATCTATTGAGCAAAGGTATAAAAGCCTTCAATCTTCTCTCTCTACATTCATTCAATTCAAGCCTCAAGCAATTAATACTCTTGCATAGCGTTCTCTCTCTAAACACTCTATTGACTTCGGCATCGGAGGGGCCTTCCTTGGCACAACCCCCGAGGCCAGTTTACGTGTGTTTGCTGTGCAGAAAACCCTCGGCCCAGTCATCACTCGGAGCGAGACCAGTCTCCGGTCCACAGAAAAGGACCCAATAGAAGGTCCTATTGTTTTTACCCGAAACACTTAGAATCCATTTGCATTGGAAATATGGATACTTAACCATGGCCACCATGTCCTGTCGTCATGACAAAGGAAATATATATTAATCATGCATATTGATATACACATTTTTTGAATTAATAAATAATCTTGGAATGGATGACAGAAATCACATATCAATTGGTGTAATTAATGTTTCTTTTACCTTAACAATTCATTTTTAACTCCTAATATGTACTTTTCCCCAACAAAAAAAAAAAAAAAAAAAAAAATACTCCTCATATGTAGCCTTAAAGATTGTATAATACAAAATTAAAAAAAAATGGTTTGTGCAATGGAGAAGCTAAAGCCGTTGTTTGGTTCAATAATAGTAAAGGAAGGGAGGAGAAGAGGAGGGAATGAATAAAGGGAAAAGAAGGGAAGGAAAGAAAATGGAAAGGAAAGATGGAAACCATGCATATTTTCCAATGTTTGGTTGATAGAAGGTTGTGAAAGGAAACCTAAAAATAATTTTAATTTGACAGATTTAATTTTTTTTTATTTCCTCCCACAATTACTCCGTCCGGTTCAATCTAAATATAGGAGGAAAGGAGAGTGAATATATATTTTGTGAAGGAAGCTTTCCTTCCAAATTCTTTCATTTCCTATCAAACCCTATATAATATTTGGAACCAAACAAGGAACCAATAATTTTTCACTCCTTTCTTTTAATGTCCTCCCAATCAAAAAGTCCAGAAAATTTTAAAAATCATTTATAAATCATACACTTCTAAAATAAATTTAAAAATAAAATATAAAATCCTACACGTGTGGATTTATGTACATTGTCACAAATAAATTCTTCAACGCAATTTTACATATGTGGCCGGGGTTACTTTTACGGGGTTACTCTTTTGGTCAGGGGTTACTTGTAGGGGCATGCTTGGATTGGGGGTAATATATTGAGGGGGTAATAAAAGTCAAACTTGAAAAACATAAGTAATTAGAGGTGTTATTGTAGAAGGTATGGTGTTTGCAAATAAAATAAGGTAGTTGTTCTATGAGGACAAGAGAAAGATGGAGGAATTATTACCCTCATAATGAGGGTAATAGTTACACCCTCTCCCCCTAATGTAACTATTATTACCCTCAAAATGAGTCTCTTTCTTCATCTCATACCTCATCATCACTACATAATTTTTTTTACAAGCACACCATCACTATCTCCTCCTTCCCTAATTACTTTCATTTTGCTTAGTTTGACTTTTATTACCCTAGTGATACATTTTCCTCAATCCAAGCATGCACTAGGAGTTACTTATTATAGGGTTACTTATTCAGGGGCTACGCGTTTGGTCAGGGGTTACTTATTCAGGGGTTACTCATTCAAGGGTTACTCGGTCGGTCAGGATTACTCTCACACGGTAAACACGCTCACCGACTGAGTAAGTAACCCCTACAAGTAACCTCTACAAGTAACCCCTGAATAAGTAACCCCTACAAGTAACCCCTGAGTAAGTAACCCTTACAAGTAATTCCTAAATAAGTAACCCATATAAGTAACTCCTGAATAAGTAACCCCTGCCACACGATGTGACCATCGACACAAAAAAGTTATTTATTCTTCAATGGATTTACAGCCATATTAACCTTTTAATCTTAGCCTTTTTATTTTGATTTGAAATTTGAGCTCAAAATTTAAGTCCATTATGTTTTAGTAACTAAGAATTTTCCATTTACTATGGTCTATACGAGGCCTCTTCTCTCCTCTCTCCTCTCTCTTCTCTTCTAAGGTTTACAATTTTTGTCGTATAGGCCAGAAATAGTCTAACTTCTACGGAAATTAGACTATTTCCGATTTTTCTTGTTTTTCTATAGCGTTGCATTTTAAATTTTAATAAATCTACACAAGTAGTGTAAATATTCCCTCATTTGTGGAATGTCTTCCTATGGTGGAGTCGTATGTTTTTGGTAATATATTTGTTTGTTTTTCGTTAATTAAGGTTCATATGTATGTCAGGGCTTATAAAAACATAATGATCTTTTGCCCTATTATCAATTCGTTGGTAAAAATTTATTCGGGATCGCAATGATTGTCGAATTCTCAAATGCAGCGATGTGGGCGAGGGATGTACCACAGTGTGTGCAAGATCTTCTCAACGATTGTAGCTTTGATGAAGGAAACCTTTATTTGATTCTATTTATGTATTTGTTAATTCAAATTTCATTTGTAGATGTCGGATGATTTTTTTTATTAATGAATTGATTTTGTTAAAAAAAAAAAAAAAGAATTTTCCATTTTGCATTGGTGATTTTCCAAAAGTTTTTTAATAGTACACTTTCATTTATTACTCATTGTTCTAAAAACCACCCATGCATAAGAATAAGAAAATAATTGTATCTTGCAATTTAAAAGCCAAAGATGTAGAAGAGACAATAACATAGATTTAATTTGTTGGGAGTTCTAACTTCACTATTAGCCACAAATTACATGTTAAAAAGATATTTTTTTTTTAAAAAAAAAAAAAAAAAAAAAAAAAAAACTAACAAAGTTGCAACTGATAAACATGATATTACTTAGTTACTACAAATTAAACTTGCCGCTGAACTTGCATTAGCACTTAAGCTTATTGGTAATACAACCAAATGACTTCCATATGGTTGTTATCTACTTGCATCTCCCTAGCTAGACATATACTTATCCTTATAAAAAAATCTGCCATTTTTCTTCCGCGGTCGCGCCATACTCAATTGATGGCAAAATACATTACTAGATTGAAGGTTGTTGTTGTTGCTCTTATTACTCTCCCTAATATGTAGGCCAATAGTTGTCGAATTCGACACAATTGTCCACATTCATAAACCTATTACTTGATCCACCATGCCCATTTATGTTCATATCTAGTTGAACATAACCACTCTCTAATCCACTCAACATGGAAGAAGTAACATCATGTTGTGCACCTTGTTGGTTGATCATAGGCCTTAAAGGCGGTGGGCCTTGTGTTGCACCACCTCCTGCCCCACCAAGGTTCAAGTTAAGGCCAGAGATGGTAAACCCTCCACCACCACCACCACCACCACCCGGCGCACCACCACCTCCTAGAGGGTAGTTTATTTGGGATTGCATAGGTAAGTTTGCACTTGTGGCACCACTAGTTCTTAGGGCACGTGAGAGCTCGGCGAGTTGATCAACATGATTGTGCATCATGTAGTTTCTTCCAAGGTTAAATTGAGCTGGATCTATGGGGAGCATAGCGGGTGGAAGTATGTGACTTTGTCCCATTTCTAGGTTAATTGCTCTTGTTGATTGTGTTGTAGGGTATTTCTTGATGCCTGCACTTTTTTGGAATACTCGGCAAACAACCCATTCATCCTGCTTGCAACATCCAAAGTAGAGTTACTAAATAATATATATGTAACAAATGTATAAACCAAGAAAAAAGTAGTTATTAGTTGCAAAAGGATGTATGTTCATTAATAATGATTTGTATGGCATGCATAGTACGTACCATGAATCGGGTATTACTAATCAAAATTGTACTGTTATTGTTCATCCTTGAGATATAATCAACTTCATATTAATGATGTTTTAGATTTCAAATCTTCTTTCGAGTGTTTAGTTTTCCTTCTGCTATGGAGAGTGTAATGAAGTTGTGCACCGTCTTGCTAAATGAGTAATAATCAGCTTAGTTAATTTGATGAAGTATGTCTTACTGGGGCTCCTACTTGGTTCTTTAGGATCTTACTATCACTACTAGGTCCCCATCTTCTAATAATAAATTCAAATAATAGTCATTTAATGTCCCATTTTTTATTCGCCCTTAGGCCACCAAAATCTCAGAAATAGACCTGATCACTAGTTAATCCTCACAATATTAGCCAACTATTTCCTTTTAAAAATTCTTTTCATGTACATTGTAATATTTACACGCGACTGTAAATTGAGTCTTCTAAATATTAAGCTTAATTCTCTCTGCTTGACTTAAGGAAATCTCGAGCTAAACTTGAGTAATTCACGAGCTAGTTAGACTTAATCAGTTTTCATTTCAAAGTTTCATAATAAATATAATCAGTTCGCTCTATTAGGTACTTCTTGTTAATACTTTTTCTAGCTATATGGAGTACTAATAAACTTATACTCCATTGTACCATTTTCACACTACATATAACAGATAAAGATATTCAATCTTTATCTTTTTTATTGCTAAGGTTGATAAGCTAAGGCTACAGTAGTAGAAAAGAAATATGAGCTACTAATAACAACTTTCAATAGTAACTACTAGTATATTATATAATAATAATAATACAACTTCAATACAATAATGTATACTTGTATAGATGAACTATTCGTCAAATTCTTACTTAGTATAACAAATTGTTACGAAGTATATACCAGGGTTACTGAGTTAGTTAAGAAAATGATACAAGTACGTACTAATTAAGCTACATTAAAAAATTTATTATGTTATTTCATTAGTCTTACCACCTAGCATACTTTACTTTCCCATATGTTCATTATAAAATGCAAAATTTACGAACAACTTAAAATTATCTTCCTAACTGAAATCGATTTAGTTTAGAAGATGGAAAACATTTCAAAATTACGAGCTTACCACCAATTCTTTTTTAAAATGAGATCTCTAATTTTTACTTAGTACAGTCATGCGAGTAGGTTTATAGAGTGAGGTGGGGGTTTCTAGAAGATATAAAATTGTGAAATTATATTCGTCCAAATTTGCCCCACTAGGTTATTATTGCCAATAATATTTAAATGTAGTATTGTCGAAATGGATATGTTATATAATCTAATCTAATATGAAATTTTAATTGATATTTGTAATTATTCTGTATAATTAAGGTTTCATAATCTTGTATGAGCTTGTTCAAGAGTGACAAGTACAAAAATTTATAAACAAGCAAGTCGATATTAAGTATGTATCTCCAATCATCTATATCAATAATGATGAAATTCATTTCTATAACCTAATTTAATAAATAGGACCCTAAATCCCAGAAATCTTAACCCTAAATGATTTCACAATGTTTAATAAATTCACATACACAATGCATAGCATGATCGAAGCAACCCAATAATTTGAATACTTGTAAATATGACATGAATTATATATTCGAAAAACTTCAACAACTAAAATTAACACAACCTTAATTACCTAAAACCTAAAGTATAGTTTTACACACTTCCCATATACCTTGTAATAAAAATTTAGCTACACTTTAACCACATTTTTTTTCCCCTTTTTGTTTATTTGTGGATGATATTTTTATAATAGAAATCCTCTCTCAATTGGGCGTGATTCTATATGTGAAGTTAAAAGTGTGTATAATTAACCTGATCCATTATCACTTACATGATGAACTTATCTAAATTTACATGAATTTATTAGACCTTATTAAAATTTAGTTGTGATTTGAATTTGGGTGACTCTTATCAAAACTATTTTTCTTAAAAATATCAGAAGTTATATGGACTTATGAAACCTGAAATAGGTGGAAATAAGGTATACAGAATAGAGAATAATAAAGTACATATGCCTTTTATTATCTTAGCATGTGCCATACTCAAATCCATATGCAATTTTGTGCTCTCCATCATATACCTAATCATCTACATCATTAAGGGCATACAAAGTATGTTATACCCTATTTTAGAACTCGTTCTCTTCACATGAAACAAGTTATTATTATACTTCATAGTCTCATTTCATTAAATATTGTGATTCAAATTTCCTCTTTCACAAAGAACTATTCACGTATAATTTTCCCCATAATAATTTTTCTTAACCTCTATTTTGACAAACAATTTATATCAAGTTAATTAGGCCCTGCTCTATTCACCTTACAAAATTAAATTCAAGAAAAATAATTTCATTTTAGTAAAAATAAGTACAAGTCGGTAAATTTTTTTTTTTTTTAACTAGTGATGTTAAAGAAAAAGTATAATAGAGAATCAGTATAAATAATTTTAGTTCAGTAAAATTAATTTCAGCTCGTATAAATAATTTCAATTTAATAAAAATAATTTAAGTTCAGCAAAAATGATTTTAATTAAGTAAAAATAATCTTAGTTCAGCAAAAATAAGGTGAACTGAATAGGGCCTTACTCATACTTTCTCCACCTCCCCCTCTCCTTCTCCCTCTCCATTCTCTATCTGATACGATTTCCATTTTCCTTTATAAAATGCATTAATTAGTGATAGAGTATAAAACATATTCTTGGGCCTCAACCATCAGATTAAGCTTTTGGTTGAGTTAGTCCTTTAACATGGTATTAGAGCCAGCGTGAAACAAAGGTCACGGGTTCGAATCTCATCCACTCCTTCTTTCAAAGTGGAATATATCGCGCAGGGTATGCGGGAGGCACATGCTGCATCCACATGAGAGCCTATTTCAAGCCTAAAGGGCTCTCATGTGAGGGGATGTGATAGAGTATAAAACATATTCTTGTGCCTCAACCATCCGTTTAATCTTTTGGTTGAATTGGTCCTTTAACAATTAGTATCCTTAACATTGCAATATTTTGACTTTCTTTCTTCACAACGAACACCTTTGACCATAAAAATTTATAATTATCTACCAGTAAAATTTATAAATTTGATATTTTGAAAGTGTACTTTGTGACTTATTCTAAAATATTTTCCATAATAAAATTTTAATAATCAAAGTGTTTTATTAATAAAAAAATTAAAAGAGGTGGTCAACGTTAGTATATAATAGAGCAATAGCTAAGATTTAATTATTTGCAATTTCTAAAAAATGAAGGAAATACTTTAATTTGTATTAATCTTCTCTCTTACTCTCTCACTCTTAAATTATACAGAGTACTTGTAGTAAAAAAATATTGTTAACCCGATTATATACACTCTACAAGTCTACATTGGTGTAGTTTTTTGCTCAAGTCGGAGAGAGTAGATCATCATATACTTCATATATACTAGACACATACTGATAATTTTCATACTTTCACTAATAGTCTCGTATGAACTATGGCTTAACTACAACCATTTACATAAATACATATATTTACACTAAATATGAACTTGGTCACTAAAGACATTATTTCTTTAAATTCATTTTCTTAATATTGGCATAAACTCATTTCACTAAAGATGCTCAATATTGGCATATTGGTGTCATTTATTTCTTAAATTAAAATATTATTTCTTTAAATTCATTTTTAGTATCATTATTTCAAATTTAGTAGCAGATTTAAATAAATTAGAAGATAAAATTAAGGGCTTATTTGACATCATTCTTTGATTTCAGTTTTCTGATTTTTTTTTAAAACAAAAAACCAAAAATAGGAAACAAAACAAAGGTGTTTTTACTTTTTAGTTGCCAGTTTTCAAAATTATCATTGTTTTAATAAGTTTGACCGAATTATGATTCATTATATGTCACATATCATATGATTATGGAAAAACAAAAAACCAAAAAAAGAAAACAAAAGCGATACCAAACGAGCCCTAAAAGTAAGATTAGTAAATTTTCAATTTAGAGCTATAATGAAATAAAAATGTGCCTGTAAAACTAATGATAAGTCTAGAAAATAAGATGTAACGTTTTCAATAAACAAATATTTATATTTTTTTTAGCAACTATTATGGAAAGACTTAATTCTATCTAATATAAGTCTTACTATAATTAGAATTAGAAAATGATCATGAAAATTATTTAGAGAGTGAAGTAGCAACTAACAAACTCACCTTAGCACTTCTATAAGCAGATCTAGAATGAACTCGATATTCATGCATAACCCAATTGGTTTTCTCCCCTCTAGGAGCTCTCCCTCTATAGAACACCAATGTCTTCTTCATCCCAACCAACTCCGTCGTAACACTATTGAAGATTTCTTTGTCCTTCCCGGTGGTTTTCCAATAACCTGTGTTGGTTGCGCGATTTGTTCTCACTCCTGTTGGGTATTTTCTATCCCTTAAGCTGAAGAAATACCATTCCTTTTCTCCCATTTTTGCTTTCCCTAAAATTAAATTATTGGATGAACAAAAGTGCAAGTTAGAAACAAGAAGTTAGTTTTACCTATTTTAGGGTTTCTTTGCATACTACATCAAATTTTTAATGTTTGTTGTGATCAACTGAAGTAAAAAGCATTTATTAAGAACCTCATAGTATAAAAGAAGCTTGGTTCCGTCTTTTTTTTTTTTTTTTTTTCAAATCCTTTTTTCATTTCATTTTATTTTTGTGTTTCATGCAAAATAAATAGAGGCACAAATTTACGGCCGATATATGTGATAAATAAAGTCGTATGTTAAACTTTTACGGATTAAAAATTAAATTGTTTTGCAATATATGTAGATCAAACTAATTGATAGATCAACCGAAAGTATATTAAGTATTAACCTAATCATAGTTTTGTATCTAATTAAGTTCAAATATATTAACTATCACTAAAACAAGCCATGCTAACATCATTAAGAAACACATGTTAGCTTTTTATGAAAATTTTTCTCAAGTTTCATGACAATAAATACTTCATAAATTTTTTTTTAATGAGATTGTAGATATAATTTTTTTCAAATTAATGAGGAATGACTAATTTTTTAAATATATAAAAAGCTATTTAAATCGTGCAACTTATGGGACTAACCCGGATCTTTATAATTATATGAGAAATTCTCTTTACTATACATTCTATTCATGGAGTGAAATGTTATTTTGTTTTAATATTTTTTTCATCAAGTTCATGTTATGATTAAGAAATATAAAATGAACAAACTATTTTTTTCCCCTTAAAATTTTCCTAACCACCTTTATTTGATAAATCTACTAATGTTGGAGTATGGAGTTCATCTTTTACTTTTGATCAATTCTTCCTTGATACTTATATTCACGGTGACCATTTAAATCAATCTTATACTATGTACTACGAGAACTTATTAAACAAATTACTGGTGAGATAATTATTAATCACGTATACTTGATAATTAGGTAAAGTCCTTCAAAACAAGATAAATATACCTGGAAGATCCCATGGCTCGCATTTATTAAGATCAACATCTGCTACAGCTCGGCATGAAAACGTCGCGTCTGAGATCTTGCTCACAAGGTAATAAGTAATAAGCTCTTCATCAGTAGGATGAAACCGAAATCCCGGTGGCAGATTTTCATCCTTTGGTTGTTGTTGATCTCCTCCTTCCATGACGATAACTAACCTTAATTAATTTTCTAGCAAGCTAATTAATTAGCTTTCGCGTCTTTTTGCTAGCTATAAGTACAACTATTAATTCCTCCAATTACTAATCTCCTTGTACTCTGCAAACAAATTTTATAGTTAGAAACATATAATCAAGTAACCTAAGCTTAATTAAGCTACTAATCAAAAGAGTCAAAAAGGTAGATGATGAAATCTCTACATCTTATTTATAGACAAATTCCTTAACCTAGTATACAATATAAAAACATTAGAAAATATTGTTCGTTGCAAGTTAACTTGTAAATAACTTGTACCTCCTAGAAAAATTTGAAGGAATTTATTTTCCTAATCACAAAATCGAGCATCCGACAGAGGTAAGCTTTAGGGAGCTTGGTGGTTGTATTAGTATGATTAATTGAAGGAAAATCAGTCTCACAATCAAAGGCTTAAGATTTTAAGATATGGGTGAGAAAATTTAAGAGAGAAAGAAATAAGGGTTTACTATAGAACAACTTATTGAATAAATGATGGTACGTGCATATTTATATACATAATAAGAAGTATGAAATTTAAGCAAAGGTTTCTAGGGTTTATATGTGTGACATGTATTCATGTGTGTATTTGAAGCTCTCACCAACTATGGACCTTGAGATACAAGGTGCTTGCATGAAAATTAATATAATTATAATATATAGTATGGAAGGTCATTGAAGTAACACCTTATTTTAGGGTGGTGTAAGATTGCTTCTTTGTTTTGTTGCTCCATGTTATTGTAACTGTCTATATCATTCTGCTGGCCTTATATATTATGCCTATTGGATTTAATTGTCGTTTTGTTATTGGGTATTAAGGGATTGTTTATTGATTCCCGAGAAATTATTATTTACTACTTTATCGAATACTCCTTTCTGTTTGAAATACTAATACCAGTATTTGCTTTAAGAAAGAATTAATATAAAAGGATAAAATTTTCACTGTTTGAGTTGATATTTTCAATTAGGAAGAGATCGAGTTTTTTTTTTTTTTTAGATGAAGGGTAAATATGGTAAATATGCATAGATATTGTAAAATTGCACATTCTTTAGCACAAAAATTAAAAAGAAAAAGGAAAAAAAAAAAAAAAAAAAAAAAAAAAAAAAAAAAAAAAACCATAAAAATTAATACTATTTCCGAGTAGCAAGAGGAAGTATGATTGGTATAGAGTTTTACTCAAGACTTCTACTAATGGACCTAAACTCAGTCCATTTGGCATAGATTTATGACCAATTTTCTTCATATGCATAAAATGTTGATAAATTGAATTAGCACACTGAAAAAAATTATTTGTGCTCTTTAAGGTTTTCTTTCTTTTTCTATATTTTTAGTGCAAGGAATTAGTATTAAAGGCATTGAACTTCGTAATTTGATTTACACAAAGTCACAAACTACATAGTCTACATTATGGACATGTTTGGCAAATTAAAAGTAATTGTGTGGGTAGTATGTAGCTGTTAGCTGTCCACTAGTGTAACATGTTTAAGAATTAAGAGGTAAATCAAAATATGATCTAGATATCACATGTAGCGCATCTTATTGTTACTTAAATGGATTATTTCACTATTTCTCTAGTGGTGAATCAATTTTGGCTTCCATTATAAATTTTGACTAATTGGAACTTTCATTATTGTTATCACTGTGTTAACGCATAATTTTTTCAATTTTTCACTACAACCCTTAAATCTCACCATAGCAATTCTAGACTCTCTCCTACAAATTAAAAAAAAAAATAAAAAAATAAAAATAAAAATAAAAAAAAGGTAACTTCTCATGCATAGTATCTATCCATGTTTACACCAAGACGAAATCAAATAATTCCTCTTTTTATCTGCATCATTAACGCGAGTATATTCTAGTGTGATCCATCCAATCTAAAAGCTTTGTGATTTCTTTTTTCTTCAAAACTCTATCTCTCAGCTCAAACCACCACAAACAATCATACTAAAAAATTTTGAAATACTTATCATACACTCTTATAATTAAACACATTTTAAAAATTATTTCCCTCCTAAATTTCAAATTTTCACACATTGTTAAAATCCCTCTAAAGATTGTACGTCAAAATTATAAACACAGAAGTACTGAACACCATTATAAGTACACTACCAGGGGCGGAGCTAGAAGGGGACGAGTGGGGACACTTGTCCCCCCATTTTCAAAAAAAAAAATTAAAAAAAAAATTAAAAAAAAAATCGCTGGATGTGAACGCTAGAACGGATGAAACGAAGAACTGAAGAAGCACTGCTCCATCTTCACTCGAGTACTCGACCATTACTCCAGTAGATCGACCGCCGTCGGCTTTCCGTTCTTCGCTGATGTGCTGCGACGCTGCCTCAGTCATCACCAGCCACTCAGCCAGTCCAGCCTCTAGTAGTCAGTACTTAGTAGATTGACCGTCCTCGGTGGCTCGGTTAGTTGGTCCTCTGTCCTCACCAGTCACCACTTCACCAACTGCGCGCTGCCTAACCGTCCGACCGTCGGGCCTCGGCCGTCTTCGCTGCATCACATCCATCAATGGTATGTCTTGTTAGCCCTAATTCGAAATCCCCAATTTGAAATCCCCAATTGTTAACCCTAATTTTCAGATTTTAGTTGAATTATTGTTAATTTTAATTGCAATTTTTGTTGAATTTTAATTTTAATTACAATTTTAATCTTAGGTTTTTTTATTATGCAATGATATGGATTGTGGAAATTGATATATATTTTTCAATTTAATTAGGAAATGTCAAATGATTCACCTAATTCAAACAAATCCAAGGCTACTAGAAAACAACCTGATCTTCGACAATTCATGTTTAAAAGAAAGAAACTCCATGAAAATGAGTCCAATAACTCCCCTTCATTTAGCTCCCCTCAAAGTCAAGAAAATGATATGGAAATGGGTGGTTCAAGTCACTTTTATTGAGAAGGATATCTTCTTACAAGTTTCCGATGAAAAAATTATTGATCGCTTTCAAAATATGAGGACTCGAAGGATGAAAGTGTAATTTTAATTGAATGTTTATGTAATTTTTTTTCATCATTTTGACTTGTATGACTAAGTATTTTTACATTTTGAAATTATAAAATTAAGTATTAACCAATATGTGTGTTTGAGTTTTTTTTTCGTTAAGATTTTTGTCAAATTATATTATATTCATAATTTGTCCCCCCAATTTGAAAATCCTGGCTCCGCCACTGTACACTACCACCTACCATATTCTTCATCACCTATTTTTTACTTATCATACCACACATAATATAATTTATTCACCTGATTTTTATTTATTCAAACTTATTTTATCATACACTCTTTTTTTTTTATTTGCAATACTTCTCATCTTACGCTTGTCAATGCTTTTTTTTTTTTTTTTTTTATTTTGTAAAAGTTAGGATTTTAGAATCTTAGGCCCTACTCTTTCCACCTTATTTTTACTTATATCAAAACAATAACATTTACTTCCCTGTCTTTAATAAGGTTAGAGATATACTACCTCCGTTACATATTATGTGCAACTTTTAAATTTTTTATATCTCACAAATAATACCCAAAAGTTGCACATAATATGTAACGGAGGTAGTACGTACTTATCCCTAATAAGGGCTGTAAAATAAACATTAAATATCTTTTGTTGATAATTTTTTTTTTTAATATTATTCTCATCATCTTAGCAATTCATTGTAAAATACAATTAAAAAATCTATAAATGATTTGGAATATGGTATTATTATCATAATCAAAAATAATGTTAAATAATTTTTCTAAAATTATTTTGATTTTGTCATTTTTATATATCGTGCATACAAAATTAATTAAACTAGACAAAACAATTTTCGACCTCATTATTCCAAAGGGAAAAAAAAGTACAAAATAAGACAAAGAAATTTAATGAAATAGCAGCATTTAAAAAATTATAAATTAGGGGCTCTCATTCAGTATCATTGTAATTTTTTAATTTTTTGTTTTTTGTTAATTATGAAATTCATGTGATGTACTAAGGTCCCGTTTATTTCACCTTATTTTTACTGAACTGAAATTACTTTTACTGAACTGAAATTATTTTTGCTGAACTTAAATTATTTTTGCTGAAATTAAATTATTTTTACTTAACTGAAATTAATTTTACTGAACTGAAATTATTTTTGCTGAGCTGAAATTATTTTTACTAATTTTCTATTATATTTCTTCTTTAAAGTTATTGAATTTTGCTGAATAGAAATTATTTTTACTGAACAACTGAAATTATTTTTATTGAAGTGAACTTATTTTTATTGAACTGAAATTATTTTTACAGAACTGAAATTATTTTTACTTAATATTATTTTTTTAAGGTGAAGTGAACAGGGCCTAAGTATATATTATATAAAAAGAATCCAAATTTATTTATGTTGAACTAAAATTATTTTTACTAACTATAATTGTTTTAAGGTGAAAAGAACAGGACCTTAATGTTGAACCTAATTTAGAAATTGTTCTCTTCACCTTATTTTAGCTAAATTAAAATTATACATTTTATGTTGAACTTTAATTATTATTTATACTGAAGTTAATAATTTTGGCTAAAATTAAATTATTTTTATTGAACTTACTTTTTTAACTGGTTAAGACTTATTTTTACTTATTCTTTATTGTATTTGTTTTTTTTTTAAATGTTACTGATTTTTACTAAGTAAATTATTTTTATTTAACTTAATTTATTTTTGCAAAACTTTACTTATTTTCACAAAATATTTTTTAAATAATGTAAAGAGAATTGGGCTTTAATTATTCTGAACTTAACTTAGTTTTGTTAAATTAAATTTATTTTTGCTGAAATTAACTTATCTTTACATGCGGATGAATTTAACTTATTGTTACTAAATATTACGAATATTATTTTAAGATGAAGAGTATAAAGTCTTAATCAAAGTCCATTCATCTAAAATTCCTAAAAGTCCTTGTAACACAAGTCCCAATCAATCTTGTCCAAAATCAACATATATGCATCTCCTTATCACTCAAAGTGCCTTCACAAGAATATAATTCCATCTTTCATGCCAATAAAAAAGATAGTATCAAGATAAGCCTGCATAACAGCGTAAGAATCTGGAGTGAGATGTTCATAGCTCGCACTCCGTACATTTAATCTAATTACTCCATCATAATTAATCGTCAAAGTACATAATTTTAAGTTTTTATATATACTATCTGGTCTATCTCAAATCTTGAAATTTAACTCGCTAATAGAGTATAAATTATAAAACCATATTTTTGGGGCTCAATCACCAGCTTAATCAACATATATATAAAATAATTTTGACTTACAGAGTAGTACAATGTGCATTGTCAACTCAAAAATATAGCAACATTTTGAGTATAATTTAACTAATTAACATACATCAACCAAATATGCCAGGCATGCGCAAACTCTAACTAATTGACCTTTTCCATATTTACTCCAAGCAATTAATTATTACCACATCAACTTAGCTCGATCTCCTAATATGCATGTCAAAACCTAGATAACCATCGGGCAAATTGCCGAAGG